AAGGGGGAAGGTCAATCCGCAGCCCTTGAAGAAAATTTCGTAAACACAAAAGTAGCCGGCACGGTGGTTCTCAGGAGATTCCGTAGGGTCGGCTATTTGCGCCTCCGCTATAATTCCAGGAGGAATTTGACAAAGCCCCTTCAATCGCTCAAGGGATTGAAGAGTACAGGTGGATTTGTAATGAGGACCGGCGATGTCGTTAGGACGAGTGCATTCGTCATTACTAGAACGCCTCTCGTCGTAAGACGGATATTCGGGTCTTTCCGAATCAGAAGTCATCGAATAAAAATGAAAAATTTAAGATCCGGCGAAGAGAGGTTTTTCGTGAAGAAGAAAAGAGAGAGTTTTTTGATTAAAGTACAAAAGTAAAAGAAGAGAGTAATGGTGAAAAGAAGTTACCTCAAGCTAATGATGAAACCGCCTCGGAAGTTGTGTGGGAAGTGGGAAGGTTTTTCCCGTTTTAATAGTAATTAATCAATATACGGTCATAATGATGACAGATGTCACTCGGTTAAAAATGGATAGTGCCGAAATTAAAGGAGTGATGAGATTTTCGGCGGGAAATCAGAAAGATTCTCGAGCGCAATCTTTGGCCACTTGAGTATTTAAAGTCCTCCGAATTGGAATAGCACTTCGAAGAACTTGGGGGGCTAATTGTTGGTGTCGGATCCCGCACCAGAAGTACGAGACCAACCAAAGATTGCCACGTAATCAAGATAATGGCCCATAAAGGATGAAGCCCATTGGACCCGTGGGCCGAAGGGACGGTCGAAGTGGTTGTCACCATCTCGAGAATCCGAAGTGACTGCACTGAGACACGAGTTCGGTGTAGAAGACATGGGTAAGTCGGTTCGAGGACGCTTGGGCCGAAAGAGGCGAGGCCCATGAAGATCAGAGTCAACTCAAATTCAAACGTTGAGCATTAAAGTCGAAGAATCAAAACGGACACATTTAAGAAGAAATAATTGTACTTAATTACTCATTTTAATGTCGTTTATCTATGTATAAATATAGAGGCCAATGGCCATGTAAGGGGGATCTTCCTCTCAAGAGAGAAATACTATAGCAATTTTCGTATCAATTTACAAGTTTTTACATATTCATTTTTGTCCCTCAAGAATAATCTTTCCCACTTAACAAAATACTTGAGTGTGTGAATCCGACATCCACAGAACCCAATGGAACAGAAAAGAAGTCGACTTAAATGCACTCTTTGCATACAAAGTAGCACTTGATATTGCGAACACGCAAGAGGATCTAGAACCCACGTCTATCATAGAGTGCACTCATAGAACAGACTGGCTAAAATGGAAAGAAGCCATAAACGTGGAGTTAAAGAGTCTCAAACTCAGGAATGTGTTTGGTCCGATCATCCGGACACCATTCAATGTCAAACCAGTGGGCCATAAATGGGTCTTTGTGCGTAAAAGAAACGAACTCGGTGAAGTCGTTCGTTATAAAGCACGGCTTGTAGCACAAGGATTCTCACAGAGACCCGGAATCGATTATGAGGAGACTTATTCTCCGGTGGATGCAACTACTTTTCGATTCCTCATAAGTCTGGCCATAAGAGAAAATCTAGATTTGCGGTTAATGGATGTTGTCACCGCATATCTCTATGGGCCCCTCGACAATGAAATATACATGAGATTACCAGATGGCATAGAGCTTAAAGATAAGCATGCATCTCGAGATCAATACTGCATCAGGCTGAACAAATCCTTGTATGGACTGAAACAAAGTGGACGTATGTGGTATAACCGGTTAAGCGAATATCTCATCAGAGAAGGCTACAAAAACGATCCCATCAGTCCATGCATTTTCATCAAGAAATACTCAAACAAAGGATTTGTAATCATAGCAGTTTACGTGGATGATCTAAACATCCTCGGAACATCTGGTGAAATCTCCCAAACAGTCGACTGCTTGAAAGCAGAATTCGAAATGAAAGACCTAGGTAAAACTAAATTCTGTTTGGGTTTACAACTTGAGTACGTCAAAGGAGGAATCCTTGTGCATCAAGCGGCTTACATTGAAAAAGTACTCAAGCGATTCAATATGGACCAGGCCCACCCATTGAACAGCCCAATGGTTGTCCGGAGCCTAGGAATTGACAGTGATCCATTTGGTCCCAAGAAGGACGATGAAGAAATTCTCGGTCCAGAAAAGCCATACCTCAGTGCTGTAGGAGCGTTAATGTACTTGGCTAGTCACACTAGACCAGACATTTGTTTTGCCGTGAACCTCCTAGCTCGCTTCAGCTCATGTCCAACTCAGAGGCACTGGAATGGTATCAAACACCTCCTAAGATACCTTCAAGGTACTAAAGACTTAGGACTGTTTTACACTAACCACAACAAGGATGGACTAGTTAGTTTTGCTGATGCAGGATATCAATCAGATCCGCACAATGCCAAGTCTCAAACTGGTTATGTGTTCACGCATGGAGGAACAGCTATCTCTTGGAGATCGATAAAGCAGACAATCACTACCACTTCATCAAACCATGCAGAACTTTTGGCCATTCACGAAGCCAGCAGAGAATGTGTTTGGCTACGATCCATGACTCAGCACATTCGATCAGATTGTGGTATGAAAGAAGATAAGGAGCCCACGGTTATGTTTGAAGACAACGCGGCTTGCATTGCTCAACTCAAGGAAGGTTATATATCAAAGGAGATCGGACGAAGCACATCCTACCGAAATTCTTCTCAACCTCGGATTGGCATAAGGATGGTACGATCAGCGTTCAACAGGTCCGATCATGCGATAACTCCGCCGACCTTTTCACCAAATCATTGCCCGCTTCAACACTCCGGAAGCTCATCCAACAAATAGGAATGCGTAGACTTAGAGATCTACGGTGATGCTCTAATCAGGGGGAGTAATGCGTGTTGTACTCTTTTTCCTTCACCATGGTTTTTCCCACTGGGTTTTCCTGGTAAGGTTTTAATGAGGCAACATTCCCCAGCGTATTATCGAGATCCCGATTGACCATCAGGTCCGGTTACTCCGTCCAAGGGGGAGTGTTATAATACATCATATTGGACTTATAACCGGGCCCAATAAGCCCATCAGGGTTATTCATTATGTACTCTAAAACCCTAGGTTTATATGCCTATATATATGTATCATTATTCATGGAATGGAATAAGATAACAATAAGTTTCACAACAGAAAATATTTTAAATAATTCTTATTTTGTATTTTCTGTTTTTTTTATTCTTTTATCTCTTTCTTTAAGCGATGAAAAATGTTGGGCTTCATTTATCATTGGGTCTCATACCGTCGCACATCTCGCCTGCCTTAGTGAAACGGCCCTGCTTATATATGGCAATTCCAAACGGGATAAAAATGTTTTTCGATTCCCTTATTGTTGATTACATTTTAAATTAACGTCATTTTATCTAGTTTATCTTAAGAGTTTTTGATATAGGATGACATATGTACAGTGGCGGACCCAGGAAATATTTTTATCCGGGTCAAAATATATATTTAAAATAAATATATATTAAATAAAAAATATACAAATATTTCGATGACAAAAAAAATATACAAATATTTCAGAAACATAAAAGATAATAAATATTGAAATAAACGATGAAGTACAAAATTAAAAAAAAAAGGTAGAAAAATAGATGAAAGAAAAGTAAAATTTATAGAAGTTCTATTCTTCTTTTTCATTTTTATTAATACTTTTTGCAGCAAAAGAAAAGTTAGCTAAAAATTCTTTTCACTTCATGTTAATCAGCATTGTTTTCTCTAAGTAAAACAATAATTGCATCATATATCCACTTTTGCCAAAGCTACTGTATTTTCAATAGACAACAATATCCTAAACTATCAAAAAGGTAAAACCAAATATATTTATGAATGATATTTTTGGTGAAAATATTTATGAATGATATGAATAAATGATTCTTCATATTTAAAATAGATAGTTGTTAATTGGTTATTTGTTATACTATTTAATTGAGATTTTTTTGTCATTAGTCTTAACAAAAGTTATCTCGTAATTACTCTCGGATATAAATGAAATTTTCTCATATGAGCATTTCTCTCTCATAGCATATCATTGGGTCTCATACCGTCGCACATCTCGCCTGCCTTAGTGAAACGGCCCTGCTTATATATGGCAATTCCAAACGGGATAAAAATGTTTTTCGATTCCCTTATTGTTGATTACATTTTAAATTAACGTCATTTTATCTAGTTTATCTTAAGAGTTTTTGATATAGGATGACATATGTACATAAATAATGACTACAAAAACTACATGTAAATTTAGTTAAGCATGCCTATATTGTATGTTAAATAACATGAACTAGCAAGATTACAATATACGTCCGCATATTGCATAAATAACCTGAATTCAAGAAGCTAAAATTAGTATGAATCTCGTTGTAGGTTTATTTGTTACGTCCGCACAGAGAAGAGATTATTTACTGAGCTTCATAAATATGAATCTATAAGACTGTTAAATTAGTTGACAGTACAATTGAACATTCACTTTTTTCTTTGTTAATAACGTGCAATATATTAAGGATATCAATCATATCATGATTGATTTGGTCAACTCGTGATTACGCACATCATGGAGACGATTATGTTAAGTTGTATATATTGTCTTTAATTCTCTTTGTATACCCTAGCTGCTACTCCTTGTATAAATACTCATTGTCTATGAACATAATAAATATCAATTCTACAAACATCTTTACAATATTCGGATTTGAATTCAAGTAGTAGCACATCGACAACACTATTATAAACCACTAAGCTACAAATCATCATTCACATGTCATTTTTCTATATAATTCATTCATTGTTATCTAGAGAAATGTTTTTTTTTTTCCTTTAAAACTTTTTTGTGGCCTTTTCATAAGAGTGGTACCTATGAAAAGGATGAAGACCATAGCCATAGCCTTGTGGCCCATAGGGAACCTCTCTTCAACTATTTATTTTTCCTACATTAATAATGCTCAATGGAAATGTTCACCTTTTAGAAAAATCATCAACTTATTTTTCATAGTTAATAATGCAATTATCACCATTTAACTATATTTAAAAACAGAGACAAAAAGAAAAGTGTAACAAATAGTTAATGAGACCTGAGAAAATAGATACTAAGTTCTGTGCCCTGACCACTACCTTCAGGGTTGATCATATACAATGCTTCAGAATCCTTAGAACCAATCACTCTATCGAATCGAGCTCTCATGTAAGTCATTTCTCCTTCTGTCTCTTGATCATATTGGTTCTTACATGGTAAAACTCCAGCCCCCATTGAAACACCTCTCAATGCATCAATCACATACATCTCCTCCTCACTCATGTTTTTCCTCCGTATCGAATAACCGATTTTCCGCCCGTTACAGTAGATCCCCCACACATACTCTTCCAACACCTTCTTCCTCGATGTTTTGGTCTCGCTTTCTAAAGCAATCCTCACAGTCTCCGAGGCCATCTCCTTCTGAAGCGCCGAAGTCAGCATCGGGAGCTCGATGATGAACATTGGCAAACAATGAGGATCTTCTTGTATTGCAAGAAAGACTCTTCCTTTGCGAAACCCGAATATTGTCCCCGTGGTTGCGTAGTCCTTAAGTAAGGGTCTTCGATGCCCTCGACTTAACAAGTTCACCATCTTGCAACCAGATGATAGCATTGGTATGAGCTTGAACATTTTGAGCACCCCGCCACCTATGCTTCCAGAAGTTTTCTTCGAAGGTTTAGAATCCATAGAGCTGCCCGTATGCCTCAAGAGCGAGAGCACGGCCGAGCTATCCATATTGAAGAAGGGGCTAGATCGGATCGGCATAGTTTTTACTTGTTTTTCCTTCTATTCACCTATTCTTGTTGTTCTTATTGTGTGTGTTTTTCGGATGAATATAAGGTTTGGCATATAAAGAGAAAACATACATATAAAGATATATGGAGTGGAGGTGGGGGTCTAGTACTAAGTTAGGAAGATGGTTTGTCATTTGGTTTGGGAATCTTTGAAGAAAAATAAAGAGGAACCAAATTGGTTTTTGGAGACATGTGTGAAGATAAAAAGGAGAAACCACTATTCCACATTGTTTCTTTTTCTGGTTTATGATTTAGACAATCATGTATAACCAAGCCATACATTACGTTTAGTTATCGAATGTTTTAAACATTAATTTGGGCGTTTGTACATTAACATCAAAATTTTGATGTCATTGAAGTTATGAGGACCTTAAGAACATTACATGCTTTTCGAATTAACTCATTACAAGTACGATCTGGGAACCTTTTTCTTTTTGTAGTTTGCAAATGATATATCATTTTATAAGTTAGACTTTCAACTAATAAAATATCTTAAATTTCAATACACATATACAAAGTTTTTTTTGCATTGTTACTAGCAATGCGTCTTATATAGTAGTCTTAGAACAAGAGAATATTAGATCCCAACTTATAAATGTTACAAGAATATTGTGATTTCCTATTACTACTTTTTTTTTTGATAACTTGGACAAGTTTTTTCTTAAGACATTCACTTGTAACTTAATTGATCAAAATGGGAATTTACTGATTACAGTATTACTTTTTGATGAGCAAGTTTTCCGCACAAGTAGTTTCAACTAATCATTATACTACCATTTTCGAGTTTAAATATTAATTTATATTTAGCTAATACATATTCTTAAGTGGTTCGTAATAGTGTTAACGGTACATTAGTATCGAGATTCAAATCTCCATATTGCATGTTGTTGAAAAGATCGGTTATAACTTTCAAGATAAAGATAATGATACACATTCAATGAAAAGAGGGTGATAACTTTCAACAAAAAGAGTGTAATAACTTAGCAAAGGAGGTCTACACAGGTCAAGCTAAAGAAAACGATGGTAACGAGTGAGAGATGGATATGACCATATGTTTATTATTTTTTCTTAATAAGGACCATATGTCTTATTTTAAATTATAGAAATTCACACTTTTGTTAAAGATATTTGATAGTGGAATAGAGCGAGGAGAGACCACACAACCTAAACGTTCATGGGTGGGGGATGGGTCATCATTAAGAGAACCAAACCTACATGTGTATACTATTGTTATTTGAGAAATTTCATCGAATTTGCATCGATACTTTTGTGAACAATAAGCACTAGTTTTGACATAAAGCATGTTTCCAAAAATTCTTCTTGTCATAAAAGTAAATTTCATAATTTAAATGTTTAGATCTTCAATTCTAAATTAAGAAAATAGAAAAACTAATGAGAGACAACAATAACGTTTTAGACGATTTTACCTCTCATTTAACTTTAACCAAGAATAATCTGAATATGTTTAATGTGGACGTTTAATTTATAAAAAATGTTTTTTTGAATGGTTTAATGTTTAAACTTTAATATTTGTTGTTTGCCCAAAAAAAAAAAACTTTAATATTTGTTGTTTGATTGTTGTAACAAATATATATTTTATAACAAATATTTAATCCTACAAACAAATAGATAGTAGTTGTTATAAAATCAACACAACAAAATATATTTATATTTTAACAAAAAATAATTTCGTAAATTTGAACTTTTCAAATGTTCAAAAATGAAAAATTCTTTAATGCCACTCCAAAAATGGCAAAATCCGTAAATGTCACTTAAAAAATTAGTAAAACTCGTAGTAATCCCTTTAAAAATTCACCAAGTTTTGACTCTTAAGTTCTATATGACCAACAAACTATTGTTGATATATGTGACTCTTAAGCATTAATCTACTTAAAAGGAAATCTTATTCAGCAAATCAACCTAAATGTATAACCCCTATATCATAGATCAGGCAAACAAAATTTTAACAAAATGTATAACATCTAACAAAAAAGTTTAGGTTTGATTCACGAAAAAGAGCACCTTTGACAAAATTTTATTTTATTTTATTATTGTTATGAGATGTTGAAAAACGAAGGCAAAATGAAAAAAGGCACGGTGGTTTGGCAAAAGGCATGTGCCAATGTCTCTACTAAACTTCAATAAAGTAATCACTAATGATTGTGTAGAGAGTCATCTTTACGAATTCTTTCTATCTTTCTTTCAATTTTATCCATAAGCTTTATTTGATAATAACGTCAAGTATGGGCACCAACTTATCAAAACTCATCTTTTTTATTGGGGCCTCACTACCGACGAGGACGACCACAATTAGACAGTAGTTGCAAATGAGACACTTGTACTAATCCAAATCACTTCATTGCATATTTTTTCTTTTTGATGTCTCCATAAAATTAGTTTTATCAAGAACTTGATAGTGTCTAAGATCACAAAACCAAAAACGAAAGAAAAAAAAACAAAAGAACTAGTAAATTAGATTTTCTAAATATTGTGATCAACATGGAAAAAATCATTTAAGGATAAAAGTTTTAAAAGAACTTAGAGAATCTATTGTAAAAAATACATTTTATTGTGCTGAAACCATAAAACCACCAATTGAATCCACAAAATCAAATACCAAATTTTCAGCTTACGAACTTATTGCGAATACTTGAAAATGAATGCCTTCAAAAGAACGAATAACCGTGATTGATACAAGTGTTTTACGAGTTAGAAACCAATTGGTGTTATTGAATCTATAATTCACACAATAAATTTGTTAATGGGGGAAAATATTGGCGAGTGGGCTACATTTGTGTTATGGGCCTAGCCGACTTAGAACTTACTTGGTCGGCAAGTCTCGTCTAGGATTTCTATGTTAAGTTCTTTGTATAAATACGTTGTACAACCGTTCATTGTAAAGCAAGCAATTCAATATCAGAGCATAGATCCTAAACTATACTCTGAGATCTCTTTTTCGTTTTTCTCTAAAGTTCTAAATACAAGTTCTTGTTTGGAATCTCAAGACGTGATCTTGAAAGATGACTGGAAGAGATGTAGCCGAAAGTGGAGGAGAGAAGAAGCCGGAGAAAGTTGTGTCACCATATTCAGTGTTTTCATCCGACAACCCAGGAGCGTTGATTACGGCGGTGCTGTTGAAAGGTGATAACTACAATGAATGGGCGACGGAGATGATGAACGCCTTGCAAGCAAAAAGGAAGATGGGTTTCATCGATGGTTCCTTGAAGAAGCCACCGGAGGGTCACGCAGACTTGGAGTCATGGCTAAGCGTGAATTCTATGATTGTGGGATGGCTTCGTACCTCGATTGAACCACGTGTTAGATCTACTGTGACGTTCATCACCGATGCGCACAAGCTATGGGAGAATCTCAAAGAGAGGTTCTCGGTTGGGAATAAGGTTCGAGTTCACCAACTGATGTGTAAATTGGCGTCTTGTCGTCAAGATGGACATGCTGTGATAGATTATTACGGAAGGCTGGCCAGGATATGGGAAGAGTTGCAGACGTATCGTCCAGCTCTGGCGTGTTTGTGTGAAGCTGCGGCGGCGTACGAGAAAGAAAGGGAAGATGAACGTGTTCATCAGTTTGTGATGGGTCTCGATGAATCGAGATTTGGTAATGTGGTTTCGGGTATTATTGAAGCAGATGTGTTGCCCGATCTTGGTAAAGTGTATGCCAAAGTGATTCAAGAAGAAGATAGACTCAATTCAGCTAAGACAAGAGAACAACAACAAGAAGCTGTGGGTTTTGCTACCCGACGTGAGACACAAGAAGAAACAGGGGGCTCTGGTTCTCGCCATGACGGAGGAGGAAACAAACCACGAGATCGTGCTTGTTTTTATTGTGGCAGAGAGGGTCATGAGAAGAGCTCGTGCTGGCAGTTGGTGGGCTATCCTGAGTGGTTCACGGAACGTGGAGGCAGAGGAGGACGTGGTATGAGTCGTGGAAGGGGACGTGGCGGAGCTTCTACCAGTTATGGAGGAGGACGTGGGCAAGTGAATATGGCTCACGCAACTAGTCCTTATGCTTCTACAACACCAGACTTGACTCCGGAGCAGTTGAGGAGAGCTATTTCACAACTCTTCAATGACAAAACTGGTGAATCATCAGACAAACTAGCTGGTAAGACACATGGTGATTTGATTCTAGACACGGGAGCCTCACACCATATGACAGGAAACATAACACTTCTAGTCAAGATTCAAGAGACTACATGTAACACCCGCGTCCCGCGATCCTAAAGGGGGCCGGTTTGTTTTAGGGAAAACTAGATCATGGTCGAGAAAGACAATGAAAAAATTAACCCAAGGAAAGAATGAAATGTTTAAGTCGTGAAAAGGGTAGATGACTTAGACTATTTCGGGATAATCTAGTAATCATGGAGAAATGATCATGGAAAGATTAGGAATGGCGAAGTCAAGGCCGAGAAACGGACCGAAAGACTTAGCCGGAAAGAACGGACAAAGGAGTCCGAGCTAATCCAATTAGGTGAGCTGGACCAGCTGGATGAACTAGCTAGCTCAACTAGGTGAGCTAAACCAGCTGGAGGACTAGCTAGCTCAGCTAGGTGAGCTGACCGACAGCTCAACCGAGCTCAAAGAACTGATCGGATACTGACCCAACTGGGTGGTCCGGTCAGCTGACACTCGAGCTGGTAGACTGTGGTAGTTCGGGGATGAAGAGGTGTAAGGTTGAGCGGTTGTCGACGAACAGTTGCCATTGGCCAAAGGGTGGATAAGGCCAAGCGGTTACGATCAGAAAGGTGCAACCCTTCGAAAGGGTGCAACGAATGGATGTGATCTTTCGGGAAGGAACCCATTCGCCCCTATATAAGGGAGGATGTCCAAGGGCTTGAGGATCACAATTCACACATATCACAATTACAAACACAATCCGGAAATAGTCCTAAACACGCCACGAAGTTGTTGGTCGGAAAGGGGGTGTGGCTCGGTGAGTATCTCCGGAATCGGAACGGATTCTCGGAGCCTCGACCGAACTGATGCGCATGCTACCTCCCAATCCAACGGTTCGATGGAATGTTTGGATGGATTGATTGGACCGATCGTCGAAGAGATGGATCGGAATGGATGGATCGTTCGTCGGAGAGACGGGACGGATCGGGTAAGATGGTCGGGTTGACCGAATGATCGGATCGTGGTATCGATCGATGGATCGGATCAATGGAACAACAATTCGATCAAGGAATTGGATGGACGGAGAGTTCGACGACTTGATTGATGGTTCGGATCGATAGCTCGATTATGGGATCGATGGATCGTCCGTTCTATGAATCATATCGTCGATGGAAGGCCACGAAAAGGAAATGGATCGGTAAATCTAAGATTGTCAATATGGAAGTATTGACGAATCCAAAGATAGACCGATAGATGATATGGTTAACGGGAAGTTAATCGGAAAGGCGTATAAGGGAAAGGTGTTCGAAGAAGCACGAGGATAAGTGCAACCGAACACACCCAAGGGTCGCCCATAGATGCAATATCGCGGCCGCCTTTATGAATCAAACGTCGCAGCCTTGGTGGATCCGATCAGAAATCGGTAAGACCTATGGTGACTCGACGGATGGAATAAGGCAATAAAAAGGGCTAAGGGAAGGATCAATGGACGGATTGAAAAGGAATCGAATCCGCATGGGGGCAAGGTATGTAAACGAATCTAACTTATTAGTTAAGCTAGACGTTTAAGAATTGGCCGTGGAAATTAGGATAACGGAATATGCAATCGTTAGACTTAGAATGGTTAGCGAACAAATTGCATGTCTTGACCGAGTAAAGGATCGATCTAAGTCTTAGGGACAAGGAAGATAAAAACCGGTACAAGGGTTGGTTGGAATTAAACCAAGGGTAGAAAGACTTCCGCTGGGTAATAAGAAAGCGATTATAGAATTAAGCCTTGTAAAGGCAATTCTATGTTAAATCGCGAAAAATATGGAGGTTCGGCCGGGAATTGGCGCGAATGTGAACCTTAGGTCGCCGGACGCCGAGACGTCCGGGACGGGGTCTCACACTACACTGTGTCGGATTGGTTTTGCTGATGGAAGTACAACAATGTCGTCAAGGAAAAAGGGCATGATGCCTTTGTCAGATCGTATTGCTTTATACGATGTGTTATTTGTGCCGGAACTTAATTGCTCTTTGATTTCGGTTTCCAAGCTTTTGAAAAGTTCAAATTGCTTTGCGTTCTTCATTGATACTTTGTGTGTTTTACAGGACCGTTTTTCGAAGACTCTGATTGGTCGAGGGGAAGAACGTGATGGGGTCTATTATTTAACGGATGTGAAGACTGCTCGGGTTAACAAAGTTGAGGTGAAGACTGATCAAGTTTTGTGGCATCGTCGGTTGGGGCATCCTGCGTTTTCGGTGTTATCTTCTATTCCTAAAATTTCTGATATTACTATTTCCGCTAGTCAAAGTCCTTGTGACACATGTTTTCGGGTTAAGCAAACAAGCGAGGTTTTTTATGATAGTATTAATAAAACAGAGGATTGTTTTTCTTTAATACATGTTGATGTCTGGGGTCCTTATCGCGTATCATCTTCTTATGGCGCTGTGTATTTCTTGACAATTTTGGACGATTATTCTCGTGCCGTATGGGTCTATTTGATGCTCGAGAAGTCAGAAGTAAAAACAGTTCTTCAAAATTTTTGTGCTTACTCGGAAAAATAGTTTGGTAAGGCGGTGAAAATGGTGCGTAGCGATAATGGAACGGAATTTATGTGCTTAACGTCATTTTTTAAAGAGAAGGGTGTTGTTCATCAAACGACTTGTGTCGGAACACCACAACAAAATGGAAGAGTTGAAAGGAAGCATCAACATATTTTAAATGTAGCTCGCTCATTATTGTTTCAAGCGAGTCTACCGGTGAAGTTTTGGGGAGAAGCTATATTAACAGCGGCCCATGTCATCAATTTGACGCCAACTAAGTTGCTTAAAGGGAAAAGTCCTAATGAAGTTTTGTTTGGAGAACGACCATCGTATGACCATTTACGTGTGTTTGGTTCCTTGTGTTACACTCAAAAGCAGCTCCGTGATAAAAATAAATTTGCCGCAAGAAGTAGAAAATGTGTTTTCTTGGGATACCCTTTTGGGAAAAAGGGGTGGAGAGTAATGGATTTAGAAACAGAGGAGTTTCTGGTTTCAAGAGATGTCGTGTTTCACGAAGAGGAGTTTCCTTTTGCAAGGTTGAAAAATTCTGAGTCTTCTCCGTGTGGAAGTGGTATTGTTGACAACGATTGGGCACCCGATATTATCGACAGGGGGAGTTTTAACGAAGATGAAATTGAATTAAGTTCAGTTCTCGAAGTTGGTGTTGGAGATAATGTGGCAGAAACAGCTGAGGTTGGTATTGAAGAATCTCTAGATAAATCACCGGAGGAGATTGATGATGCTATAATAGAAGTTGGACCCGTGTTGGCACCCCCTCAAGCTGAAGAAAATTTGGGTGTTGGTAAGAGACAAAAGTTTCCATCCGTTAGATTAAAAGATCATGTGACGTATAACTCCGTTAAACAAGCAACTACCCCTCACGTTCCCTCCGATCTTCTCACAGAGTCTTCTTCGGTCCAAGGTATTTCTTTATACCCTCTTACAGATTATATATCTGATTCCAATTTTTCAGTGAAACACAAGGCGTTTTTAGGTGCTGTAAGCGCAGAACACGAGCCTAAAAGTTACAAAGAAGCAATTCGAGATAAGAGATGGACTAAAGCAATGGGGTCGGAAGTTGGTGCTTTAGAAAAGAACAAGACTTGGAGTATTGTGGACTTACCACCGGGCAAAGTTGCTCTTGGTAATATGTGGGTTTATAAAATTAAGTATCATGCTGACGGTACTATCGAGAGATACAAGGCACGCTTAGTCGTTCTGGGAAATCATCAAGTAAAAGGGAAAGATTTTGAGGAAACTTTTGCTCCGGTAGCTAAAATGACCACTGTTCGGGGTTTGTTGAGAATTGTTACCGCACAAAATTGGGAGGTGCATCAAATGGATGTACACTACGCTTTTCTTCATGGTGATCTTCATGAAGAAGTTTACATGAAGCTTCCGCAAGGATTTTCGCATTCTGATCCAACAAAGGTGTGTTGTTTACACAAGGCTCTCTACAGCTTGCGTCAAGCACCACGTTGTTGGTTTGAGAAGCTCACTACGGCACTTGTTAAAGCGGGTTTCGTTCAGTCTTATGCAGACTACTCATTGTTCTATTATTCTCGTGGAGATGTAGAGATACGGGTGTTGATTTATGTTGATGATTTGATTATTTGTGGAAATAATAACGCAGCCTTGGTCAAATTCAAGAAATATCTCGGAGAGTGCTTTCATATGAAGGATCTCGGTAAGCTTAAATATTTTCTTGGAATTGAAATTGCTAGAAGTGAAGAAGGTATATTGATGACTCAAAGAAAGTATGCCTTAGATATTGTTGCGGAGACTGGTTTACTTGGCTCTAAACCAGCACAAACTCCAATGGAACAAAACCATCGTTTGGCTTTGGATACGAGTCTTCTTCTCACCGATCCGACAAGGTATAGAAGATTGGTCGGGCGTTTGATTTATCTCACTAACACGAGACCTGATCTTTCTTATTCAGTTCATATCTTGTCCCAATTTATGCAAAAGCCTAGAGAAAATCATATGGAGGCAGCCCTAAGAGTGGTGCGTTTTCTAAAAGGAACTGCTGGTCAAGGAATTTTATTACGAGCTGATTCAAACTTGGAGCTTTCAGTGTACTGCGATGCGGATTGGGGCACTTGTCCGACAACAAGACGGTCTTTGACAGCGTACGTTGCTCTTCTTGGTGGGTCACCTATCTCTTGGAAAACGAAGAAGCAAAATGTAGTATCAGATTCTTCCGCTGAATCAAAATATCGGGCAATGTCTAAAGCAACACGAGAGATTAAATGGCTGCGTCAATTGCTAAGTGATATGGGTTTCCCGCCTCCTCAACCGATACGTTTGTTTTGTGATAGCAAGGCCGCAATTCATATAGCGGCAAATCCAGTTTTTCACGAAAGAACGAAGCATGTCGAAATAGATTGTCATCGAGTTCGTGATGCTATTAAAGATGGATTGATCACTACGGTTCATGTGCCTACAACGGCTCAGTTGGCGGATGTACTAACAAAGGCGTTGGGCAAGGTTCAGTTTAATACATTGATGTCCAAGTTGGGTGTTCTTAATATCCACACACCAACTTGAGGGGGAGTATTGGCGAATGGGCTACGTTTGTGTTATGGGCCTAGCCGACTTAGAACTTACTTGGTCGGCAAGTCTCGTCTAGGGTTTCTATGTTAAGTTCTTTGTATAAATACGTTGTACAGCCGTTCATTGTAAAGCAAGCAATTCAATATCAAACACTTTCTTTTTCTACAGAAAACAAATTCAGAAAACTCTCTTTATTAGAAATCTCGATCAAAGACTCTATTTCAAAAGGAGTTATAATCTCTTGTAAAACAAGTTATGTCTTTTCAAGAACAGAGAAAGAATTAGGGTTTTTGCATGAAAATTGTGGATCCCTTGAATAGAAGACAAAACGTTTTATTTATACTCGAGATATCTTTCAAGATAAAATCAAATTTCCTTAAATCTAGGGTTTGAATCTTCAAGTCTTCTTTATCTTCGGATTTTGACATTAGTAAAGGGAATTTTCTCATTTTTCCTCTTTTAGAAGGTCGATAACGACCTTTCCTTCTATCTGAGGGGGGTCGGCTGACGACCTCCTTGGGCCAAAGGCCCATTCACAGGTAACCGGATTTTCTCAGTTTAATTGAATTGCTCAACTAATTCGAATTCCCCTTGGTTTAGGCCAATATTATGGTGGGTACCAAACTACCAATTGCCGCATCAATAGGTGGGATGGAAACTATATCTCGGCTAACAACAAAAAAGAATTGAGGTCTCTCACTTGCAAGATTTCATTTCTCCATCTTTCACTTTTTCTTGTTCTTTTTTGTTACAAGGTCCAAAACAATTATAACCGAGAAAAAGTTGTGCACGTTGAGTGATCTGGATTATTGGGCCGATATGGATTATTGGGCCGAGATAACGCAAAGACATTGTTGGTCATTGTAACCAAACATGCCTGAGAGAGATATTTCCTATTCTCAACATTATCATTGGTCTTTGATGAATTCAACATATAGATCATTCTTGTTAGTTCCCAAATTTCATGCTATATAGTTTTGTCAATTCCCATACTGCAAAAAGTTGGCTCAGAGTTAAATGTGCCATTTATATAGAGAAGAAAGTGCTACAAAAGTATCAACAAGAAGGAAACCGAAAAACCTAAAAGAACAGACATTTCAATAACAGAGTTATGTTCAGTTTTCAATCTTCTCCACCTGAGGACTTTTGCTCATTTACATCATAGCTCAATATATTCCACCTGAGGACTGCCAAAAAGTATATCTTAGAAATTGTGTGGACGACGAATCCATCAGAAATAGCAAAAGGAAACATATATCTTACCTGTACGATATTGCGATCCAGAGGTGATATGTTCAAACCTGAACAAGTTAGATAGCTTAAACGTGAACAAGTTTATCATGACACTATCTATTCATTACTTCTATTAATAGCAAATCCTAAAGGCATTGTTTTTATCAAGTTCAAAGAAACGATACCTTTCAGATTCTTGAGGAGGATGGACGGTAAGGCTCGTATATCCAGGAAGATTTTTCTGAAGAATCAGGAGCTAATATGCCCTTCATCCACTCGAAACGAACAATCAGCTCTTCCAAGTCCAAGACAGCAGCTTCAACAGACTCTGATTCCATGATGTTCAACCGAAGAGCTCCATCTTTTTTCAACTTCTCTGTGGGTCTCTTCTTTTCTTCCTCTCTAGGTTCAGCTCCACTCTGCTCTTCTTCTTCCATTGATTTGGCCTCATTCACTTGATCTATTGTAACAGCACAAGGCAAACATTCATATACCACATAAACCAAACTATCAAGAGAAACAGAAGGAGCAAACAGCTTAAACATTGGGGAATATAGCATTGATGTAAAATAAAAAATCTAACCTTCATTCAAATGTTTCATTAGCTTAGCACATTGCCTCTTCTCCCCATCCTACAAGAAAGATGGATGGTAAAACAAGATAAGCGACCAAAAGAGTAAAGCTTAGAGTATATAAGGAATACTTTGCATCAACTAACATACCGTTTTGGATCGCTTACACTTATTTAAGGTGTAACTCATATCTGATTAACAAGATTTTAGCCGTGCACAAAGAAACGACAAGACAACTTTAGGGTATTAATAAAAGTGAATCTGCCCTTGACTGAATTGGTTTTTGTTCAAGCCATAGACTTCGACTTCAATCTAGTAATTGGAGCGGTTGTTAACGTGAGAAAGAAAGAAGGAATTAAGCAAAAAATCTCTCTTAGAGAATTAGGTTATTTGTTGGAAGTTGTTTTCTCATTAAGCAAAGAAGACCTTTATATAGGCCAAAATACATGTTGTTAAAAGGAAATATCAAAACCTAATGTAAAAAGGAAAACTCTCAAAAACAATCTAATGCTAAAAAAGGAAAAAACATCAATAAGGCAATAACCCTTGTCACTTATCAGTTTTATTTGCAGAAGACATGAGGCTTAAATAAGTTGTTTCATCTATCTTTTCTCAAATACTAACCTTAGAAAAAGGTACAGTCCAACCATCATCAAGTGACCATTCCAATGATGGTCGCAAATCCTTAGACAGGGCCTCATAGATACTCCCTTCGCCATGTGGTGGAGCCAACAATTCAATCTGCAAAATAGACCATAAAGAAACACAATAAGTTTTTACTACAAAGTTCAAAAGCCTCCATTTAATGCCACAAAATAAAGCTTAAATGGAACTTATGGAAGCAAAGAGGATACGAGCTTTAACACATATGATATGACCATAAAGTTGTCGTATCTCATCATCCTTTGTTAAAGTAAGTAAAGAGAAACTAATGAATAAAGAAAGGCATGATAGCAGAATGCGAGCATTTTGAGGACACAAACTTATCCTCAAACTTCTGTGCGTAAATTAGTTATGTTAAAAACAAAGTAACAGTAAAAGTAATAAAAACACAAGCAGACTCATCGAGAAACCATGTGATCATGCAAAACTAAGTATACAATGAAACATAGATTGCAATATAACAAGATAGAGTAGGAGTAGAGCAAAACAATTTAAAATCGATAGCAAGTTTATAGGTAATATAAACCTTTAAATACCTGTACTGATCCATTTTCTTTCACTTCCAGAACCGTCCCAGACCAATAACAATAGGCTTCCCACCAATCAACCAAATCACCAACCTTCCAATCATCATGAACAACAGCAGCTTCTTCTAGAGCACCACCCTCCTTGTTAAGGACTTCATTTTCATGACATTGTCGTGGATAGACAGGTCGAATCATTAGGTGTTTCTCACTCCCACCTTCGAGTTGTTGAAATACTTTTGTTGTATGTATACCTGAGGCATGAGGATAACAAATTCACATCTAAACATTTAACAATGGTGTATTGGTACTAAGTATATATTCAGCTTAAGAATTACTCTCTCCGGGATAATCGAGATACTCCACATCATAGAATAATGCTCTCCTTTTCTGAGATATCTTGAGAATCTGATAAACCATAAGAAAGCAAAACATTGAGTTTTTTACATAAATATGATAGTTCTAAAAGTTTTTAGAACACTTATACACATTTCAAAGTGTAATCTTAATCATTGCTTCCTTTAGAATGTAAGCAAAAAAAAAGTACCTTGCATCGAAACCAAGCACCACGATAACCCGATATAAAAGATCTTAATTCTACAGTTTGACCAACTTCAAATGGTAGATTGATTTGAGTCATTACTGTTTAACTGCATATAATCAGAATGTATTAAAATAAGTCAGATTAGGAAGATAAAAATGCCAAGCAAACATCTGAGTGTTTTTAGCTTCCCCATTCACAAGAAAATATCTATTCACTTTAAATTCACAGATCAGCTAAATATTGACTAACTCACCAAAACTCAAACAAGTATTTTACACAAGGTTAAGCTTCTGGCTTCTCTATTTCTAACAGTAGTAAAATAGAGAAAGGTAGCCTCCAAACATCACAACTTCAAAACTATAAATCGATGACACAATCACCAAGTTTATTACAAGGGGACACAATCAAGAACCTGTGTCAAAAACCAACACAAATCTGACCTAAAATCAAGCAAAATCGATACTTTTCCAGATTTTCCTCAGTCACCAGACATAATTGTGGAGAGATATCTAAAAAGAAAACCTTAAGAGTATACTTGTTAATCACCAAAGTAGTTACACTAAATCATCTAATCAGATCAATCTTTTGACATTGTACAAGATTAGAGTTTTGCTTTAGTGATAATCACAAGTAAAAGAAAAACAACAAACCTTCAATGGCTTCACAAGGAGTCTTGAAACCCAAAGCAATGTTCCTTCCCCAGATTTCTTCGAGCTAAAACACACCATTAAACCCCAATCAAATGAATCACAGAATCAGATTCGCAAAAAGAAAAAGAGAATCTATCAATTAGAGAGAAATCGATGCCTACTTGTTGTTGCCTCGCGACTTGCTCTCTTATGGCTTCAGAGATTAAAGAAGAAGAGATCGAAGAAGGAAAAAACAAACCCAACGTTGAATATCAAGATCAGTGAGTCAAGAAACACTCTCCAGAAGATCTCAGGTCGATTTTGGAGATGGATGGATAAACCTCTGATCTTATTTGTGTTGAATAAACCTCACGAACTGAATTTCTTTCCTTTAGTTATAATTGTACTTCCTCTTTTTGATTTTCCCACACGCAAACAAAACGGTAGGGCCCAATAGCAAACCCAAAAAGTTTTTGCCTGTGGGTTCGGGTGACCGGTTCCTTTTTCAGATTTCAGGTCTATTCGGGTAGGAGGACCGAGACCCATTTGGGTATTATAAAAATTCGGTTCAGATTCATATCGGTTCGATTATTTTGAATATATAATTATAATTAAATATAACTATAATTTTATTTTGAGTTTTCGGATATCTTTTCAGTTTGGATCGGATAATTCAGATAGAAAAATTCATTATCCGTATGGATTTTGTGACTATTCGGTTCGATTTCAAAATCGAATTTGTCGGATCAGTTTTTAGATTTCGGGTTTTATGCCCGGCCCTGTATAAACTTTTCTTGTACCGGTGAGGGCTTGAAAATGCTTTGGTTCAAGTTGAACCGGTTACATCGGGTTGGTTCAATTTGAAACCGGTTAAATCGGGTTAGTTCAATTTTAACCGGTTTAAATCGGGTTAGTTCAATTTGAACCGGTTTCGGATGGGTCAGTTTGATAAACACTGATGCTAAGGAAGAAGATCCTCTCTTCTACTGCGCCAAGCTCAAACCTTTTAAAGCTTTACTCTTTCATTTTCACGAAACCAATTCCAGAGATCATTATCGATCCTAAACAATTCAAAAACACAATGTTCAACACCAACAACAGTGTCTCAATCTCAGTATCTGACGACGAATCCAACGATTTGAATCGGATCCGAGCTCGAACCCGACGAAAGCGGAAGAAATTGAGTCACAGAACCACCTACGAGCTTCCTCGTCACGTTCTAAGGCTTTTCGTGAGATACTGGGTCGTATTAGTTTTTCTTCTCGCAGTTATGTTGCTTGTTTTCGAATCAACGAGGATTGGGATCAAATCTAGTGTGTTGAAGAATCCAGATTCGAGTGGAAAAGAGAGTCCTAGTAAGAAAAATGAAGGAAATTTGAATCGATTGGATCCAACTACGAAGGTTATTGGTGGTGTTAGACAACGTAAGCTTGATTTGATTTGATTATGTATGAATAAGCCATGAAATGTTAAAAAAGATAGTTTCTTTAATTTGCTATTGGCTGGTTTAAACTTGGGTATTGTTTGGTTTTATTTGTTCTGTGTTGTTGAATGATTAGTTGATAGTGTAAGTGTGTATGGATTGTGGTAGGTTGTTTGAAGCTTTTGCCACCTGAGGAGCTTGAGAATCTTGATATCTTAGAGCGTAAAGATTCAGGCACTCCGGTTAAGAGAGTTGTGTATCTAACTGATGCGGATGTGTCGATGGGTGAAATGAAAGCTGTGCGTGGTAATGGGACGCGGTTTAATTTATTCACGGGGAATCAGACTTTTGCTCAGAGAGAGAATAGTTTTCAGGTCATGATTTGGTAACTCTACAAAGCTAAGAACTTGAGTTTCCTATAGTTCTAAGAAGTTTTTGATGGATCTTGAACTGAGTGTTGATTTTATTGCATCAGGTAAGGGAAACAGTTTCTTTGCATTGTGGATTTTTTAATGAAAATGGAGGATTTAGGATTTCGGATAAGGATAAGAGGTTTATGCAAACATGTGAAGTTGTAGTCTCGACATGTGCGTTTGGTGGTGGTGATAATCTTTATGAACCTCTTGGAATGTCTAAGGCATCAAGTCAAAAGGTTGGTCACTCTGTTTATCCCCTGTCCACTGCTCTTTAACTGTTTCTCTTGCATATCGAGTATGGATTTTGATTAAATGGTTTGTCTTTCTCTGCTGTTTCCAATCCTGAATGAGTTTTGTGGATGCAGGTTTGCTATGTTGCGTTTTGGGATGAAGTTACTCTTGCAACACAAGAAGCAGAGGGTCATAAGATCGATGAGAATGATCACATTGGAAAGTGGCGTATTGTGATTGTAAAGGATCTGCCTTTTACAGACCAAAGGCTTAATGGGAAGATCCCAAAGGTACTATTCATCTACTTCAGAGGCACATGTTATTATCTGCAGTGCACGTAGCAATTTTATTCGCTGGGTTTTAACTGGTTCTGATCATGCGTTCATGCGTTCTGATCATCCTTTAACTTCTGCTTTTGCGCTTATTTGCTTATATCTCACTTCTGCTTAGAGGCTAATAACCTAAGTTTGTTTAAGAATTTGTTTCCATTACAACCAAACTTCAAACTTCTTTGATTTTCATTTTGTGCTGTGTAAAATGGTATGTGCTTGATTTGAATTAGCTCGCTGTTGTCTTTTTTTCATACATCTTTCGATCTTGTTTAAATATGGTTGGAGTCAAATATTTGAGTTTCCTTTTGCTTTCAAGCACATGTATGTATGATATAAGATGTTTTCATAAAGATTTTAATGAATCTGCATATTGTCAGATGTTGGCCCATCGCCTTTTCCCAGATGCAAAGTATTCGATTTGGGTAGACTCAAAGTCCCAGTTTAGAAGAGACCCACTAGGTGTACTAGATGCTCTTCTTTGGCGAACAAACTCAGTGCTTGCAATTTCAGAACATGGAGCTCGAAGCAGCGTATACGATGAGGCAAAAGCTGTCGTGAACAAACACAAAGCTACACCTGAAGAAGTTGAAGTCCAAATAAATCAATACCGACATGACAAATTACCCGAAGATAAAAGATTCAACGGGAAAAAAGGTAAATCTCTTTTCATCATCGGTGTTGTACCAAAGCTCCTAAACTTTGAGGATGGAAGTAATTTTTGGTTGTTTTACTTTCTTAAAGCTTTATCTGAAGCCTCTGTGATTGTGAGGGAACACACTCCATTGACAAATCTCTTCATGTGCCTCTGGTTCAATGAAGTCGTCCGCTTCACTTCGCGTGATCAATTGAGTTTCCCATACGTTCTTTGGCGATTGAAAGTTCTCAAGAACATCAACATGTTCCCTGTGTGTACACGTAAAGATCTCGTCAATAGCATAGGCCATGTACGCAAGGCTAAACCATTAGTTAGTCTATGAATGTACGTACCCTAACTTTCCAATTCATTGGTTTATTTTAGTATCGTTTTTGTATCTAGCGTGCAGACATAAAAACAGAACTGACATATTTTAAGCTGAAACCGAACTAAACCTGATCAGAATAAAAATAACAGCTTGAGGACAAAAGAAGGTAGTGGTTTAGTTATGTTGTGGAAGAAGTAGTTATACCAAAATCACTAATCTAACTTTAAAACCAAAGAGGTTTGTTGAAAGAACAGTTAGAAACTCCTCTTTGTATCTCATATTCTTCTCCGACCATGCTAACTAGAATCATCTTCCTCATCGCTGTCGCCACTGCTTTCCTCGTTGTTCTTCTACTCGCTTTATTCTCACCCGTTCCTGATTACGACCCGCCGGGATCATTCTTCTCCTTCTCCCTCTATGTTCAACAAACTCACACCCCATCCTCCTCCTATTCTTCTCGTCGGTCCAGTCAACACATAGCCCGGCCCCATGGCCAAGGAGGAGGAAAAGGAGCATTGATTTTCCGGCGTACGCTTACTGAAGGACCCGAGAATAATTCACGGATCGTGGGCAAAGCTGAGGGATTTATAATCCCACATGAAGACTTTGCTAGCTCGGATTTTAACGTGATATACTTGACGTTGGAGACTCCTGAGTACACGGGGAGTGTTAGCATTAGGAGTAGAGACATGGCACATAAATTGAAAGAGGTTATGGAGGTAGTGGGAGGGACAGGAGCTTTCGCCTTTGCCCGTGGAATCGCTATGTTTGCTGAGATTGATGATCATGAGGAAGAAGCTGTAACCACTTACCGTGTTAAGCTTCTACTTAGATTTCCACATACTTCTCACGTAGATCCACCATGATGAACACTTTTCTATTACAATACATATATTTGTGTATAAATAAAGTTATTTACTGATTTTTTTTTTTTTTGTTAAAAGGCCTTCTTAAAGTTATTTACAGATTCACTACAGATGTTTAAAGAACTCGAAGCGAGAATCAGTTTTGCTTTCTTTTTGCCGATAATTTAGGGGTGCCCAGTTCTTTTTTTTCTTTTTATCTTCGACAATTTTAACTTGATAATCCACTCAACATGCATGTCAAGAAGATACCAATCTTCATAATATCGAATAATTTGAATGGCAAAAATTTTAATTCGCATCTGAGCAAAAAATTGCTATATGAATATGATACCAGTTATTAACACTACAGGAAATGTGGGTATTAATAGCGGCCGAAAAACGCAATTATTCATCTACCATAGCGTTTCCTTAAGCGCTCTGACATCGCCCGTTATAGAAAGTCGGACACTTTTGATAGCGGTTTTGCGTTGTACAATAGTTAAGTATACAACGATAGCGTTGTCTTTTGTGCAATTGTTAATGTTTATAATAGCGTGATAAAGATGTTATTAAAACTCGTTAATTAGATTTTACCTATAGCAAAGATAGCATCTGTTTTGTGTTATTAGTTTGTTTTTAAATTATTCAAAATAATAAATAATTACGAATTATATTTTAATTTAAATGTAATATTTGTAAAAAAAAATTAATTTCGAATATTTGTAAAAAAAAAAAATACCATTAAAATGTTTAATAACCCATTTCAATTTTCATTGTTTACAAAAACCACAAACATACCTATCAATCTACCACTAACAAGCCTTCACAATCATCCCTAACATAAACACTATCATCATCAAAAGCTTCATCATCCAAATCATCGACATCCAAATCATCAATTCAGATTTCTTTCAATCATCAATTGTAGATGATTTCCGTTACTTGTCCATCAAGAGATCTCTCAACCTTCTTCTTGACAGGACATCCTGGATTAGTACACTTGTAATAGCTTCGAGGAAACTCGCTGCCTTTAACTTGCTTTTGCCCATATTTTTGCCAGTTATAACCATCATCAGCTGGTTTGTCAACATTTAGAGGGTGTTGGGACCTGTGCTCGATGATGGTCACATATGAGGTTTCTCTTTGAGCTGGTAGTGGAGCCGAGGTCGGGATCTGAGCTTGACCCGATGAAAATGATTGAACTTGAGAGGAAGGAGGGTACTCTGTTTGTGGTTGCATATTGGCATTGGCTTGAACTGCTTGAGCAGTGACTTGAGCTAGAGCTTGCTGATGTGTCATTCCATATGATCCCTGCACATTGTTACATTGATTTCGGGTTAGAACAAGAACCGCAAAAACAAATCCGATCCGAGCACACACCAAAATAGGTAAGACAGATTCAGAGTCAAGACAAAGTAGAGCCAGAGACACAAAACATGCTAGTTACCCCAAAGTCAAACAACCTAGATAACCCTATCAAAAGAGAATATAGTAAAGGCCTGTCTAAAGCAACCATCTCGACTAAAGAACACACATTGTTCCCATAATCAACCATATCAGGTCATAAGAACAGGATTTTTCGGTTATGGCACCAAGATATCTTCCTGAGGATTTATATAAAAACCTTGAGCAAGCCCAAATCTTGATGAGTATTTTGATCCACAATCTCCTGAAAGTTCCTACCTTTTCAATACAGTTGAGTTGCAAAGTTCCTTCCTTTAGGAGAAATCCTCTAATCTCTAATAAGCCCTAATACAATCCTAATCTCATAATCTCCAATTTTGACCTAAGATAATTCCAGCAAAATGGTTACAAAATCTATAATTTGTTGGAATAAACCTAGATTTGCTAAGAACAACGTGTTATTTGTTTCCACAGCAGCCAACAAAACAAAAACAAGAAACATCTCAACAAAGAAAAGACACAAACACACAGTTTCCATAAATAGATTTTTAAACTTTAACCAAACCAAAAAAGATAAAAAATTGTTAACCTGAACGGGAGAGAAAAGACCCAAAAAGCTTGGTGAATCCATCAACAAGGCCGGACTTAAACCAGGCGGTACGGTGAACATCGACGGCGATTGAGATTGAGAAATCATCAAACCGGTTGGTCTGTTTTGCTTGAATCTCGGGTCAACATCACCACTAGAGCTATTAGTCCCTTCACCAATTCTTTGGTAATCACTAGCCGTCGCAGCAGCTGCAGTCGCGGGAGAAGTCATGGCTCCAGCAAGGAGCTGAGAGAAAGACCTAAACTCATCGGAATCAGAGAACATATTAGAGACCAGAGTCATCGGACCAGGACTAAATCCAACGCCACCGTTAAAGAACATCTCACTAAACGGCCGTGGAGGAAGAGATAAAGTCGGACGCGACGGAGCTCTGGTAGACTTCGATGTCGACGGAGCTTCTTCCTTTTCCGACATCGATCCAACAAAAAAATTAAGATTTCTTTCAATCAGATAATATAAGTCAGCTCGATAGAATTAATTGTATACCTTGGCAGCGAGATCCACGTCTTATCCATTTGGTCACGATGGAGATGAATCCGTTCTGAAATGATGAACTTTTGGTAAAATCGAGTTGGGGAAGTTGTGTTCTCTGAAAATTTGTGTTCTGAAATGATAAACCCTAAAAAATGAACGGCTGGGATCAAAATTAGTGAAACGAATCAACGGTCTAGGTTCAATAAGCTTGCAATCTCGGTAGTTACTGCTTATTGGCTAAGAACATGAACGGCTCAGATCAAATCAGCGAGAGAGATCAACGGTGTATGTTTCGCCTAAAGTGTAATCTCTGTAGTCTTAGCTTATTGGCTAAGAACATGAACAGCTCAGATCAAATCAGCGATACAGATCAAGGGTGTATATTAATCGCGTCAACAATAAGAAAGGACGGCTCAGATCAAAGTCGGCGCGATCTAACGGTGCAGGATTCGTCCCACAATGTAGGAGGTGAGTTCTCATTGGCTAGTAATGAAAAAATCATAAAATTATCATATAAAATTTTTTATTAATGAAAAAAATATAAATTATTTCCTTAAAAATACAATATATGTATTTCAATTTTTAGAATATTTTTTCTTATAAGTATAAAATTTTAAAATTAAGAACAATTAATATAGGTTAGTATTCCAACTATCTAACTTATATGTTCATATACACTAAGGCATAGTTTAGGGTTTAGGGTTTAAACTTTGGAATTTAGATTTTTTTACTCAAGTATTTATGTTTTATAGTTAAAACTTTAATTTAGAGTTTTAAAGATTTAATTTAATTAGGATTTTAACTTTAATTTAGAGTTTAAGGTTTAGGGTTTAGGGTTTAGGGTTAAGGGTTAGGATTTAGGGTTCACATTTCACAAAAAAAACATTAAAAACTTTTCACTTCAATTTTATTTACAAATTATGAACATATGAGATATTAGAGTATAATTGAAAAATAGTGAAATGTGTTTCAAGATTGAACCCTATACAGATTGTTATTAATTAATATTTCTAAGATTGTTGTTTGAAGATTTTTGGAAATATTATATGGATATAGATGATAAGAGTACATATGTGACAGAGATTTATACAATAAAATTAAAACCATAAAAATACATTATTGAAACATAAACTCGTCTTCTGACATAGAATTAAGTTTATATGTGGTTGAGTTAAAAAGTTGCAGATCGAGTTAATAGCCTAAAAACTCTAAGACGAACAAGATTTTTTCTCGTTTGATTCACTTTGTCATGAACCTCCATCTCTTGCTCAAAGACGTAATCTAACTCGAGTTCTTGAAACCATCTAATGCAAAGCCTAAGCCTTTTTACATATTCGATCATATTCTCACATCTCTCCTGCAAAGAAAAACAAAAAACAACATCCAAAGGTAAACAGTTCATATCCGAAGGAAGTACTCATTGAATCAAGAATCTAAAGCTTCACAATCTTGAGTAAAGCCACAAGTTCTTCTTTTTTTTTTTTTTTTTTTTTTTTTTTTTTGTAATTTCCATGAGACAATACAAACTTTGAAGCAAGTATCATCAAGTTCAATCTGAAATCAAGGAAAAGAAGAAGAATCACCAAGATTGTTGAATGTATTGAGCCTTGAGTCTGTGATGCAATGAGAATTGTTGAATGTATCACCCTGTTTCACAATGAGAAACCAAAATCAGAGATTCAATGCGATCAGTTCTTACAATATTTGCCTGCATTTATAACCAAATAACATCAGCTCTCTCAAACAATATTTAGACACGAGGTTAGAGATACCTTTAAGGACACTAGCTCTCTCAAACACATGCCTTGTCCATATCACAACAATACAACCATATCTCCACCACCGAGTATACAATTTGTGATAAAGAGTTCAAAGGATCAAACACTCAAATAACAATGACAGCCTACTCACATCAACACACACGAGAAAGAAAGTAAACAAACAAAGACTAAGAAAATAATAGCTTACAAAATAAACAAGTGGTGATCTTGATGATTTGAAGACTATCTACAAAAGAATTAGAAACTTTTAAAATCGAAATCCCACATATCTATTAGTTCTTCTAAGTACAAAATTCAGCTGCAAGAACACTCAAATATATATATCAAGAAATACCGCTTTAGATGACGATTGAGAGGGAACGAAACGGAGATAGATTGAGATCGAGAATGAAAGTAAGAGGAACATGACTGTGATTGAGAGATCGAGACAGAGATGGAGTAACGAGTCTGATTGAGAAATCGGGACAGAGATGGAGGATCGAGAGTTGATATCGGGATAGAGATGGAGGATCAAGAGTTGCCAAAAGAAAAATTGAAATGAGATAGAGGTGTCGAATGGGAAAGAGATAGAGACGTGAACCCTAATTTTTTACCACATACCTTTGAGATATCCCAAAAAAATTTTAGTTGGGCGGGCATCAATTTATTTTATTTTATTTTCGCGGTTAACATACCATAGCATTCCAAATTTTGTATAGAGAGATGGATAGCCAAATTCTTAAGCGGGAACCACATCACTTTTGCCGCTCAATATATTATAGCGTTTTATATTTCACAAACGCTATGAAAGAAAGAGGCAATAATCAAACATAGCATAACCATCTAAACCGCTATCTTCAACTGCTATCAATACTTGCTTTTCCTGTAGTGTAAGATTTGAATCCCATATCAAATATATACTTGTATATATATTAATGAATTAAGACAAAAAATAAAGCCACACACAATTTAGTTGTTCACTTTCAACGTAAGAGTTACGTCTATTTTACCTCTTTGCGGATTTTATTATGATCAACGATGGGAGGTTGTTTTTCGGTTGTGTGTTTGCGGGTTATGTTCTAGGAACTTAAAATCGAGTTATGGTTATGGGAAAAGGGTTTGTTTGATGTTAAAAGAGGTTAATGATCTCATGCTTGAGAAAGGTTTTACAATTTTTGTTAAGCCAGCTACAACATCTATGGGAGATGATGTTAATCAAGAAGGTGTTTAATACTAACTAAATCAATAGTTAGATATTAAACACAAGTTACTTATATTGAGAAACCGCCGGTCTGAGACACCCGCCTGGCTAGGCAAAGAGATCCAAACTGGCAGGGACAAGTATAAACTCGCCTGTCTGGGACACCCGCCTGGCTAAGACCTGCCAGTCTCCTCTATGTCATTTTAACCTAATCTCTTTTATATATAAAGGTTGTACCACCATTGTAAAGTTTTCAACACAACTTTTAATCAATACATTTCATACCTTTTCTCTCCATTTCTAGTCATGAGTGTCGACACATTTCCTTCTTAATCTTCTATTCTTATCATGGTATCAGAGCCAGGTTGTGATTCTTGAGTCTTAATCTTGGTTTCTTTGTTCGATTCTTAAGCTTCTTCTCTTTCGATTCTGCTGGTTTCTTCTTTTCCTGATTCTTCTGGGTATTTTGCGATTTGGTTTTTCATAAAGTTATCAGCTTGTGAAGGACTCTTGTGACTAATCTGTGGTAACTCTGGTCTGGGTTTAAAGCTTGGGCATTTCTAAATTTCTAGAGCTTTCGTCTTGTAGTGTGTCTGTTTGGGTTTCTAATCGGCGAAAGGCTACGAATCTGGTTGGAAGACTTAAACTTTGAAGATGTCTGTCACGATTTATGATGGAAAGATGAATGATACCTTCAACGACTTGAAGCTTGCGGTCACTCTGAATGGGAACAACTTTCTGTTATGGAAGCGGACTACTTTGAACGTGTTAGGAGGAAGGAAACTCACAAAACACATTGAGTCCACCTATGAGGAGCTAAAGGCAACTGATGAAAGTTTAGATGAGGGTACTTGGAAACAATATGATCTGAATGTGCTTAGTGCTCTACACTGCTCACTAGAGGCGTCAATCCTAGAGGGTTATTCGTATTGTGAGACGGCTAAGGAGTTGTGGGATACTCTCACAAGCGTATTTGGCAACGAGTCTAACTTGACTCGGGTTTATGGTATCAAGAAAGCTCTTGGCAATCTGAGCCAAGAAGAGAGTGATTTCAACACTCACTTTGGGAAGTACAGATCTTTGGTTGCTGAGCTAGAGATGTTAAGACCCTTCACCACTGATGCAAAGACGCTCAAGGAGCGTAGAGAGCAAGATCGTGTGTTTGGGCTATTGTTGTCACTTAACTCAAGCTATACTGATGTAATCCAACATATTCTAAGGGAAGACAAGAGTCCAACTCTAGAACAAGTATGTGCTAAGATACAAAAGGAGTATGGTACTCATGAGTTGTTTGGCACCAAGAGCACAAGTCTCCCTACAGCTAACAAGGTGGGATTTGCGAAGCAAGGAGACAAGAGGACATTGGTTTGTGAGCACTGTGAGAAGAAGGGCCACCTCAAGGACAAATGCTGGATACTACACCCCCATTTGAAGCCAGATAAGTTCAAAAAGGACAAGGCAAAGGCTAACGTGGCAGAAACAAGCGGAGGCTCCGAGAATGGCAAAAGGGCCATTGTGAAATACAGTCATCATGAGAAGGCGTTGCAAGCTACACAAGACAAGAGTTCTGCTTCCACTTCTCAAGAGACCATTGTGATGAACAAAGCCGATCTAGAGAGCCTTCTTCAATCCATTGCCTCCAAATTACATCCCGGCGGTATCTCTCTCTTTTCTTCTAATTCTAGTGATTTAAACTCATTAGTATTGGACTCAGGAGCTTCTCATCATATGATTAGTAATCCTAAGTTGTTAGAGAACATTAAACCGGCTTTAGGGAATGTTAAGGTTGCAAATGGTCATAACGTGCCAATAGAAGGTGTAGGTTGCATCAGTTTGTTCAATAAGAAATCTAGTGCTTTCTATATGCCTAAGTTCACTTCAAATCTTCTTTCTGTTAAGAAAACGAATAAGGACTTGAACTGTTTAGCTATTTTTAGTCCTAACGACGTGAAGTTGCAGGATATTGAGAGTGGAAAAGTGTTTGGGCAAGGAAGCACCAAGGATGACTTATATGTGTTTCAAGACATCTCTTTAAATTCTGTTTCTAAGAATAATGTTTCTTCTATCTTTGCAAATTTTGTTAAGACATCGGTTGTATTGTGGCATGAGAGACTTGGCCATCCACATTCTCGAGCTTTAAGTTTGTTAATGCCTGGCTTTTCTTATGATTGTTCAAACTGTGAAGCATGCATTTTGGGTAAACATTGCAAAGTAGTTTTTCCCAAATCCAATACGATTTATGAGAAGTGCTTTGACCTAGTGCATTCCGATATTTGGACTTCACCATGTGCATCTAGAGATAATCATAAGTATTTTGTCACATTCATAGATGAGAAATCTAAGTATACTTGGGTAACTTTGCTTCCATCTAAGGATAGGGTTTATGATGCATTTTTAAACTTTCAAAACTATGTGACTAATCACTTTGATGCCAAGATTAAAATCCTAAGAACAGATAATGGAGGTGAATATACAAGCACCAAGCTAAAAGAACACTTGGAGAAATGTGGAATCCTACATCAAACGAGTTGTCCATACGATCCTCAGCAAAATGGAGTTGCAGAGAGAAAGAATAGGCATCTTATGGAGGTGTCAAGAGCTATGTTGTTTCATAAGCATATGCCAAAACGGTTTTGGGGAGATGCGGTTATGACGGCATGTTATCTCATCAACCGAACACCAACCCGTATCCTTAATGATCAATCTCGTTTTCAAGTCTTAAATAATCAGAATCCTAACATTGATTATTTAAGAGTATTTGGAAGTCTTTGTTTTGTGTTTGTCCCAGGTGACTTAAGAAACAAGCTGGAACCCAAGAGTACCAAGTGCGTATTCATTGGATACTCAACAACTCAGAGGGGTTACAAGTGCTTTGATCCAGTCAACAATAGATATTATGTATCTAGGGACGTCAAGTTCATGGAAGACAAGACTTATTTTGGAGAAAAGAGTTGGGAAAATGTGAAAGATTTGCCTAATTCGACTTCAGATAGAGCTAAAAGTCTCCGACATATTCTAGAGCATTTGGGTAATGTTAGTTCTTCACAAGAAGATGTGGAAGCTACACCAAATGTGGATACCAATGAAGCTCAAGAAAGTGGTGATAATGCAACACAAGAACCTCGGGATATCCAACAAGAGAGTGGTAGAGAAGAAGGGGTAAGTGAAGAAGTGGAAGAGAAAGATCCATCTAGTGAAGGTGAAATTATTGAATCATCAAGCGGAGATGAGACTTATCAAGCTCCACCAGTAACACGAGATCCAATCTACACTCGGGAGAATCCAAGAAGGGGTACAAGAGAAAGGAAATCGAAGAAGTGCCACTATAATTGCCAAGCCGTGGCTCATCCAATTCAAGCGACATGTTCGATTGACCTTCTTCCCGAAGAACATAAGGCTTTTATCAGTAAACTAGATTTGGAATTTGTACCACAAAGCTATGAAGAAGCTAAGGAAATAAAGGAATGGACTAATGCTGTGGATGATGAGGTTCAGGCTATGGTAAGGAACCATACATGGGATGAAGAAGAACTTCCACCAGGGAAGAAGTGTGTGAGTTCAAAATGGGTTTCACCATAAAGTATAAAAGTGATGTTGAAATTGAGAGATACAAGGCTAGACTAGTGGCAAGAGGGTTTACTCAGACCTATGGTGAAGACTATAGAGAGACTTTTGCACCAGTAGCTAAGCAACACACGGTAAAGGTTGTCCTTTCTCTAGCGGTGAATTTGGATTGGGAATTGTGGCAGATGGATGTCAAGAACGCTTTTCTTCAGGGGGAGTTAGAAGAAGAAGTGTATATGACACCACCTCCGGGCTTAGAGGATACAGTAGCTCTAGGAAAGGTTTTAAGACTTCGAAAAGCTATATATGGCCTCAAACAATCCCCAAGAGCTTGGTACCACAAGTTGAGTTCAACCTTGCTTAGAGAAGGCTTCAAAAGGTCACATTCGGATCACACTTTGTTCACTAAACAAGATAATCAAGGAATCGTAGTAGTGTTGATCTATGTTGATGACTTGATTATCTCGGGCAGTAACAAAGAAGGTATCCAAGCTATTAAGTCTTCTTTACACTTGGCTTTTGATATTAAAGATTTGGGTGTTTTGAAGTATTTCTTAGGGTTTAGGACTAAATCCTTCCTACTCCGGAAGCTGGATCTGGAAAAAGCTATGCAAGCTTCGGGTTTTGGCCCGTCCTTTTGTTGTGTGTGAGATTGGTACCGGTCAAACTGCTAGCTTTTGGCAGGACAATTGGACTGGCCTGGGCCCTCTCATTGAGATTACTGGACCAACTGGCCCGCAGGTTGTAGGGCTTCCTTTGAACTCTTTGGTTAGGGATGCCCTTAGAGGGAGAGGCTGGTGGCTCTCATCTAGTCGTAGCAGAAATCACATCATCACTTTGCTAAAGGACTCTTTGCCTAATCCTGAAAGTATGATTGATAGTTTGCATGATGATCTATATCTTTGGAAACCGGATCACCATGCACCATCAACCATTTTTTCAACGGCAAACACTTAGAGCGCGCTTAATCCCATTGGGGTTCCTGTTACATGGCACAAGTCGGTGTGGTTTAAAGATCATATTCCTAAGCATGCTTTCATCTGTTGGGTTGTGGCTTGGAATAGGTTGCATACTAGAGATAGGCTGAGAAGCTGGGGTCTCTCTATATCTCCTTCTTGTGTTCTTTGCAATTCTTCACTGGAATCAAGGGACCATCTGTTTTTTGACTGTGGATTTAGTGTGCAGGTTTGGAGGTACTTTACTACTAAAGCTAATCTCAACCCACCAACTCCTTTCATGGCGTGCCTCTCTTGGGTCAAGTCGGCTTCTCGGGACAAAAATATTGCTTTGATCATAAAGCTTATCTTCCAAGCTTCGATCTATCTCATTTGGAAGGAACGCAATCTAAGGATTCACACTTCTTCTTCCACTACTCCTATTGTCACCATCAGAGCGATAAAACTCCTTCTGCGTGCTCGCCTGGATCCTTTGTCTAGGAGGCAGCGGAATGCCAGCCCGGGTAATACTTTGCTGTCCTCTTGGTTCAGATTTTTTAGTTGAGATTTGCATCGTTCTGTTTTTTCTACTGCATCCTTGTGGGCTTCGGCCTTCGGCCTTCTGTGGTCTGTTGGTCTCCTGGGGCCTGCGTGCCTGGCTTTGGGCTTTGCCCTTGTAATTTGGGGCCTGCGTGCCTTTTTTCGGCTTTTGCCTTGTATGTTGGGCCTGCGTGCCTTTGTTGGCCTTTTGGCCTTGTATGTTCCTCTTTGGTTTTTTTAATGAAAAAAAAAAAAAAAAAAAAAAAAAAAAAAAAAGTATTTCTTAGGGATCGAGGTGTGTAGATCCAAGGAGGGACTGTTTCTCTCACAAAGGAAATATGCTCTTGATCTTCTAAAACTTACAGGGAAGCTTGGAGCTAAACCAGTTGATACACCATTGGAGCAAGGTTACAAGGTCAATCGAAAGGGGGAGAAAGATGACACTCCTTATCATTGCCCAGAACAATACCGAAGACTCGTTGGTAAGCTTATATACTTGACATATACTCGACCTGACTTGTCTTTTGCTGTGAATCAGGTAGCTCAACACATGAAAGAGCCCACTGTTTATCATTGGAGCTTGGTGGAGAGAATTCTGAGATACATCAAAGGAAGTCCTGGCAAAGGCATATGGATGGGAAGAAACTCTAGCACATAAATTGTTGGATATTGTGATGCAGATTACAATGGCGATCGCAACACAAGACAATCAACAACTGGCTTTTGTACATTCATTGGTGGGAATCTTGTGACTTGGAAGTCGAAGAAGCAGAAAGTGGTCTCTTGTTCGAGTGTTGAGGCAGAGTATAGGGCTATGAAGAAACTCACAAACGAGTTAACATGGCTAAAGGCTTTGCTGAAGGACTTTGGGATCGAGCAGAAGACTCCAATCACCTTTCATAGTGACAATCAAGCGGCGATCCATATTGCTACAAACTCAGTGTTTCACGAGAGGACTAAGCATATAGAGACCGACTGCCACAAGACTCGGGAGAAGATCGAAGATGGTACTATCTTACCTTGTTACACCAAGAGCTCGGACCAATTGGCCGACATATTCACCAAGGCAGCAAGTACCCAAGTTTTCGAATTTATCCATGGCAAACTTGGGCTTGTAGACCTCACACATCCTTGAGATACCTCTCCACTTATGTCAGTAATACTCTTTTTCCCTAAGATCGGTTTTGTCCCACGTGGTTTTCCGATCTTAGGTTTTTAATGAGGTTACTAGCATAAGTGTCAAGTTTATACCAATGAATATTGTAGTATAAACTTGAGGGGGAGTGTTAATCAAGAAGGTGTTTAATACTAACTAAATCAATAGTTAGATATTAAACATAAGTTACTTATATTGAGAAACCGCCGGTCTGAGACACCCGCCTGGCTAGGCAAAGAGATCCAAACTGGCAGGGACAAGTATAAACCCGCCTGTCTGGGACACCCGCCTGGCTAAGACCTGCCAGTCTCCTCTATGTCATTTTAACCTAATCTCTTTTATATATAAAGGTTGTAGCCACCATTGTAAAGTTTTCAACACAACTTTTAATCAATACATTTCATACCTTTTCTCTCCATTTCTAGTCATGAGTGTCGACACATTTCCTTCTTAATCTTCTATTCTTATCAGATGAGAGGCCACTACAACCAAATATTGTTGGACAAGAGGATTCTTGAAAGCGCGTGTAACCGCCTCTTGGAAGCTGAAATCAAATTTGTGGGAATGTACGGTATGTGCGGAGTAGGAAAAACAACTCTACTTTAACAGATCAATAATGAGCTTCATAGTAGAAGGTATAGATTTGAATTGGTGATATGGGTAGTTGTGTCTAAAGATTTAAGGGTCCCATGATTCAAGAAAAATTTGTTGAAAAACTAGGCCTTCGTGGAGAAGAATGGAACCAAAAAGAGGAAAGCGAGAAGGCCATTGCTATTCATAATGTCATGAAGAGAAAGAAATATCAGTACTTCTTGAATGACATATGGGAGAAAGTGGAGTTAACAAAAATTGGAGTCCCAAATCCAACAAGAGAAAACGAATGCAAAATAGCATTCACTACTCCTTCTTGGGAAGTGTGTAGAAGGATGGAGGTCTATGATCCAATAGAAGTCAAATATTTAGCAAAGGATGTTGCTTGGAAATTGTTTAAGAAGAAAGTTGGAGAAAACCTATTTATAAACGATCCAGAGATCCGCGAACTAGCAAGAGAAGTTGTGAGATAATGTTGTGGACTACTGTTGGCTCTACAAGTCATTGGCGAGACCATGTCATACAAAACAAAAATTCAAGAATGGAAATCCTTAGTTGACGATTTGAAACTTTCCTCAGTATTTTCATTTATGGAAGAGCACATTCTTCCGATTCTAAAGTATAGTTTCGACGATTTGAAGCACGAAAGTGCTAAGTTGTGTTTATGATACTGCGCCCTATTTCCTCCAAATTTTACATTGCAAAAATCTAGTTTGATAGATTGTTGGGTATGCGAGGAATATCGACATTAATCAAGGTATCAATAGAGCTACAAACCGAGGTTTTGAGATAGTTGGTGTTCTTTCTCGGGCAAAATTATTGATGGAAGATGGTGGAAGTAAGCAATATGTTGAAATGCACGACGTCATCCGCAAAATAGCTATGTGGATAACATCTAATTTTGGAAATGATAAAGAACGATGGGTTGTGCAAGCAAATACTAGATAATGTGATGTGCCAGCAGTCAATGCTAGATAATGTGATGTGCCAGCAGTCATCTAATTTCATTGATTGATAATTGTATTAGAGAGTTATCTAGCAGCCGAAAATGTCCTCAACTCAGAACTCTCTTGCTCCACAATAACCATAACTTGGAGCATATATCCGGTGAGTTCTTTTGATATGCCAGCATTAATTGTTTTGAATCTATCGTCTAACTACCTTGAAAATTTGCCAGAGTAACCATCAAATCTCATATATTTGTGATATCTAGATTTATCATTGACAGAAATAAAGCTATTGCCTATTGGTCTACGAAATCTGAAAAATTTGAATTTGGAACTGATGAATAATATTCTTAAAAAAATTGGTGAGATAGCACATGTATTAAGTCTGAGAGTGTTGAGGCTTCTAAATTCCAAGTGCTTGATAGATCGTTACACAATGATTAATTTGGAGGAATTGAAGAATTTAGAGTGGTTAACCATAGACATCTCCTAAAGTTCGGCTTTGAAATGAATAGGAAGTGCCTACAAGCTAGCAATTTTGCATTCAACAACTAATAATAATTATTTCACCACATGTCAGCTTAATATTATTTATTAGAATTAGAATATTGATATATTAAAATTTATTATTAGACAACCCCCATGGAATATAATTATTAGAATATATTACTTTGAAATAATTTAATAATATGTGATGTTTTTATTTATTTCATTATGATGAGAAAATATAAAATTTTATAGATTTTTAAATTAAGTTACCGTAAATAATTTTTTTTTTTTACTTTAAATGATGTAAACAATTCATAGACAAAATATAGACATATTTTGTTCTTATTAAGTGAATTTGATTAAAGATGATCATGTATACTTATAGTTAGAACCAATATATTTAAAGGGATTTGACATATAGACGACATATGTCGAGAAGGGAGATGTCGTATGTCAGCTTATTAAAGTTTGTGTTTAGGACGAACCTAACTTTATTATGTAAGATAACATCTCAAATGAAGATTACTGATATCGGTCAAATTGCCTAAAAACCACTCTCTCAAATAAGAGATCATCTGTAACACTTTAAGGTTGGATTCCACAAAACTCCCGTGTTCACACAATAAACTAACAGGTTTACGAATTAAGCTAAACATAATAAGAATATTCAAAATAAAGAAAACAATTAAAATCGGATTTTAAATCAGACGAGGAAAACGTCATGCTTAGAAAATTTCTCATGAAATATCAGAATTGTAGATCTAGCAATAAATTATAAATTATTGAAGAACCGTTTTAGAACTCAAATCACAAAACTATAATCAACCAACTCTCGTCTGTATTGACTATATGCCTAATAGCAGGAATTCTAACTCTCGTATGTATATCCCTAAAACTAAACAAGCATTAAGATCAGGTTCAATATGTTTACAAAAGTATCTAGACCAACTCTCTTTTTATGTAGCTACTTCTGCGCACCTAAGATAGTTCCAGTAATAAGTACACTCTGGTGTCTAACCTATTATCCTAAGATCAAATTCTAGGTGATTAATCTAGAATTAGCATTAAGAACAATCAAAAGTGAAGAATTCTATAGATTTTATCCTAACAGGTTATCGAACTACTAAGTCATCTAAATCTCTAATGAGAATCCCTAAACCTAACAAGCAAACTACTCAGACATGGATATTGAAACGAACAACATGACGGAATAGAATTGCATTAAGGAATTAAGAGAAGAAGTAAAAGAGTTTAAGAAATCTTCATCAGAGGGGAGCTCTCTCTCCAATGATCTCCCAAAGGGTTTAAACTCCAAAGAATACAATACAAATCCCTACAAATCTATTTATATGTTCTTAAAAACATGTAGGGAATTCTTTAAAAATAAAGAAACGTTTTGGGGCGATTCTGCAAATCTTCATAACCTCAAAGACATGTGAAACTGAATTGCCGTCAGGTATTGGTGTCGACTGACACCAGGGGTAGTGTTGACCGACACCAGAATTGGTGTTGATCGACACCCACACCAAGATTGGTCTCAGGATTGCTTTTGTAGCATAACTTCTCGGTTTTGCTCCAGAATGATCAATTATATCCAAATTGATCCCGTACGTACCTTAACCTGAAAAAGACTCTAAATACAATAGTTATATCATGGTTAAAAACCATAAAAACCATGATATATCAATTACTATATATTACTGTTAAGTTTGATTATTATTATTAATTAGATTTGTAATTTTTAATGTTCAGGTTTTCTTCAAAATTACAAATCTAATGAAAAATAATTTTTGTTCTGCTATAGGTTGTAGTCTTCGAGATGAGTGAGCATCACGTTTTTTTTAATGAGTGAAGGTAAATCATTACACCATCATTTTTTGTTTAGTTTACTTATATTAAAACAAAAAAAAATTATGCGTATATATTTATATTCGAAAAATTTAATTCTCGACCATAGGTTTTAGTTATTTCCAAATGAAATTTTTTTTTTAATGAAAGTTAACTCACCGTTAAATTTGTGGTGTTAAATAAATATAATTTAAAAGTTAATGTATTTTTATGGAAAAAAAATGATGTATTAGAATGGATATGAGAAAAGATAGTATATTAAATTAGTAATTAAAATTAATGTGGTGTATTAATAGAAATGGGATTTAGTATGTACTGAGGTCCATTTGTTTTTTTAATTAATTATATGTATAAATATATGTATTTATCAATAACATCCTCTCTTTTCTTCATCGAACCTCAATTCTCAATCGAATCTGGTATTGGGATTTTTGTCTAAATTAAGTAAAAAAAATGTCCCTCGCAATGTCAGTCGACAACGGCGCACCGGTGACCAAGGACACCATACAAAAGTAGCCCAATGTCTTACAAGAAGAGCTTAAGAAGATTGACGTTGAAGTTACCACGGCGGAGGAGAATTACAACTCCCTCGCGCGGGCTTTCTAGTCTCTTCAATCCAATAATGCAATTATTCGTAAAACATTTGATGTTCAACTAGCTGAGCTCGCTGAGTCGGCAAGTCTCAAAAGTAAAATCACCGACATAATCTGATGATACATCCTTTTGTTTTTGTGTGGGTGTGTGGTTTGAGTGTTTTTTGGAATTTGATGGAAATGCTTGTTTGATGTAGATAAAGAGCTTTCTAGACTTAGTGTGACTAACTGATAAAATGTCTACGGATGTGTTGAACCTGTTTCACTCCATGCAACAAGTGATAGAGTCGCTAGAGCAGATTAGAAAGACAACTACAATTATTTATAGCGATTTGCTGAAACCCGTGAGTGAGTCGTCCCTATTTTTTGCCACATTGAATGATTTGATTTTTACAACTGTGTAGCTAACCCTAATTTATTTTTCAATACGATGAAGAACCGGGAAGACTTGGACTTAACCCATTAAAAGTCCAAATGTCATCCACTCTTGCTATAGTGTATGGGATCTCTATATCCTTATACTACTCCATGGAAAGACTGAAATCTTTCCAAGAAGCAATCACTGATTAACAAAGGGAAATCAAGGCCTACACATATGCATTAGCTTCTTCCCAATGAGTTTTTTTTTTTTTTCTTTCTTTTTTGTCACTTTACCATTTTCATTTCATCTGTTTGATAAAACAAAGATTATCTATTAATTGTTTCTATTTTTTAAAGGTAATTCATATCATTAACCAAGACTAATTCCCGATTCTAAAACGTTTCTTGCCGGCGACTTGATATATATTATATTCAAGATGACACAACCTGATTTCGACTTCGTTGACGAAGTTCTGGACTATGTCGAGCTGTGCCAGCTTCAATACATTTTTGCTCTGGTCCCAAACTTGGACATAACTATCATTGGTTGCAAATATAACATCCAATTTGCACATTCGGCTGCAAACAAAGTAATGTTTGATCAAATAAAATATTTGTTCTCTATCTAGATTCTTCAAATAATACTGTTTATTTTTCGGTTCTTAGGATCACGTACAGAAAATGTCCCACGCGTTGTATGGATTTGAAATTAATATAACAAAATATACTTACTTTGTAATTCAATATATATTTTTTAAAAATTGTTTTTTAAAGTAAACAATTTATATAGTCTTTAAGACTAAACATTTAGTTTGAACTATTCGACACATAGTATGAAAAGAAGTTTTAGTAGTTGGAACTAAATATATATTTTTAAGGAAGCAAATTATTATTTTCTTAGGTATAAAAATTCTTTTTCATTAGTGGATTGTAGTTATTCATTGTAAGATAATAATAACTATCTTACAATATATATATATATATATATATATATATATATATATATATATATATATATATATATATATATATCTTGAATATATATGTTATATGCTTTCGGATTATAAAACTCATTAAATTCATGTGTAGTCAAATAGTAATTATTAACCAATCTAATTCTTTTACAACCAATGTCTTCTTCATGAAACTCGGCAAAATCAAAATATAATATGCATGAACTCAAGTGCACAACAGCCACAACTCTTCATTGATCATGTGTTATTGGTTAAAAGTTTTTTTATTAGGAAATTTCGAATAAAACCATTATAGTTCTGTTGTAAAATATTTGAAACTTTTGCTTTTTATTAAATCAATATTTACCTAAAAAGAATGTGCAATCACACTACCATTCAGGGATAAAGTAACTGAAAATGGAGTGTTTTTTTTCATTACTTACAGTTTGAAAATGAAAACCAATATCAATATAAATTGAAAGTGAAA